TGCAGAGCTGTTCTTGAATTTTTTAAGATATTCGGTTTAAAGTTGAGCTGTCTTTTTATTTCTATTCTTTATTCATTCATTTATTAATGTTATTTTCTCAATCAACTTATGGAAAGAGAAAATTAAGAGCACGTACTCTAGCAGTAAAGTTTTAAAAAAGGGAAATATTATTGAAAGTAGTACAGAATGTTCACTGTTCAGAGAAAAAGATAAGTCATGTGATTTGCATGACGTCATTACTACCGTAACCACGGCAACACACTTGCAAAAAGAGCGCGCAGCCATCCAATCCTCTGAACTTTATCTTTGTGTGTACCTTCATCGCATAAAATCACTTGTAATTCAGCCAATCAACGTTCTGGCCAAAATAAAGTGAAAACTGATCCAAAGGTCGAGAGTATTTGAAATGCGATCACTTCACTAATGTAGGCGTTGGTAGAATATTCATAAACCACCAAAAAAAGCGTGGGACAATCTCCAACAAAACTCATCTGGTACCATCTAAGACTTCCTTAATTTTTAAGCTATTAGTAGTATGTACTGTTGGTTTGATAGATTCTACAGTCAGAGGGGCGAGCACGCGCGTTTTGGCGCGTAAATTTWCCCTTAATCCACAGGTAGCCCAACAAATCGTAAAAAAAGGTGAAGTTTACGATGTTTATTCAAACGTTTTTTTGGGGAAGTAGGCTTTCGCTTCCTYGTCCACTCCTCGAAACGCCCCTGCTACATTAATAAAGATTTCCGGCTACCAGCACAAGCAGCTGTGCGGAACTTAGTAGTAGTTTAGATCCAACTCCAAGGTTCCTGTTTATTTAGACTCCTTTTTTGGTATTCTGACATTTTTTGGTACTCTGGTATTATTTTATTGTGGTTCAAATTTCGGGAGAATAATGATTTATTCTCGGGTTGATTTGTCATGAATTTACTTTAATGAAAATGAGTGACATGTTTATTAACTTTCTCATTTTCTCATTTCATTTTTCGCYTTCCTCATTAATTTAGGCACTCCTCACTCTTCGACCCCAACACCTTCTAGTTTAAGTGTGGTTCATATTTCTGCATTTGAGAAGCAAGAAAAAAATTCGGATTAACGATTGGGATCTCTAAAACCAAAAAGCGGTTTCCGGTTGTTCCGAAACTGATCAAAAGGTTTCCCGGTTACAGTTCCTTCCGTCACCCAGAATCCTTCACTTCTTCTCCATACGTGCGTTGACCACTTAAAAGCGCGCKAAAAAATAAGGCTCACACAGGATCYAAAATTGCTACACCATCTATTACTCTCTGCTTGCCTTTCCTACCCCACCGGCCCCTCTCCGCRCGTGATATCAATTTTATATACAAATTCAAATTGATTRTCTTAGGTCTTATTTCACTATCTGAGCTGTCACGTGACAATGGATGCCAATAACGGTATTTATAGCACAAAGAAGAATGCAAGACGTAATTCTAAAGATATCTTTTCCGTTGTCATAAGAGCCACCAGAACAATTTTGTACGATACCGAGTTATTCTGGTCCAATTTTTTAAAAAAAATTATCAAAAAATATTTTAAAACTTCACTGAAATTAACTCCAGAATCCTTTTTCTGCATTAATGCCACCCGCGAATTCAAGCGTCTGCTAAATAATGTCTATAAATAGAAAAGTAAAATATATGTGCTCGAACTTTAACCTTTTTGGGAGTAAAAATTATTAAATTCATCAAACATAAATTTTGAACATGGTTTGATAAATCAATATCAACCGCGACAGTTCGTGTTTGCGCAAGAAATTTTTGAAAATTATCACATCTTACTTTTCAATCACTTTTAAAAATATTTTTGCACTTTTATCAATTGAAAATAATGTAGTTCTTACTTACCACCAAGTTTAGGCTGAATTCTGTGGATAAAGGCCGCTGTTACCATCGACTGAGCTACATCGACACACTCACTGAGAATTCGAAATGCAAATGAGGGAAAAGTCAGATCTGACAAAGTATCATCTGAGGAATAAGATAGCAAACCCCGAGATGAATAAGTCTCCTGTGTAATTCCTGGTAGACTACATAAATATTCATATTTTGTACCGTCATTAATGTCGCGCCCTCAAGCCGGGCCTTACGTTATGCTATTTAAAGTACAGATTTTGTTCATGAGAGTGGGAAGCCGAATCTATGGTACCATGTCTATCGAATGGCTTCCGATCTGAACCAATCAGATGACGAGAAAAATGATATCATCCAATCACAGTCGTTGGATATGACACAGCATGGGCTTCCCACTCATTCAGAACCTACTCTGTTAGTCATGTAAAACATGGGTTATTTTAAGCTTTAGTAAAATCTTGTGAACCTACATTCCGAGGAAAGTCCTCACTTGCATATTAATTAATACCTTAAAACTGTACCATTCTTCGAATAAGTGTCAAAAAAATTTGGTTTATTTATGTAACTCTATTTACTAATGTTGAATAAAAACAGTTACATTCACTGTAAATTCCACTGAAATATATAGAAAAATATTCTTTCAAATAATTGACGTTGCGACAGAATCAATTGTGAGTTTGTAGTTATGTGCTTGGAGATTATTCTTGTTCGATTGTATTATTCATTTGATTTCTGCTCCAATTGTACCAGTGTTTTTATCCCTATGGAGTTAGGGATATTATTTTGTGGCTATCTTTAATTCTCATACCTGATAGATTCTATCACCTTCATTACATGAATAAAAACGAAAAAAAAACATTTCATTCCTGTCTTTGAATTATTCATTTTTACTGCTTATCAAATATTCAACGAACTCGACGAAAGAAAGTATTTCATACCACTTTCTCTCGCAATAGTTGCTAAAACCAAAAGATTTACTAGCTCAACAAATGTATTTTATCGACAATTTTGACACCTGTAATTTTCTACAACAAAACGTCTGTGTTTTCTGCGAATATCGAAATGAGAAAAGTGAATGAAACCCAAGAATTCAGACACTTTTAAGCGACAATTTAGGAATTGCCAAGCTTCGTAAATTGGTAAAATTAATTTCATATCGGCATTGACGTCATATTGACGTCATAATGACGTCAATGTTTAGCATGCTGTCTAAACATTTCTAATTTTAGACACCTTGGCAGGAAAATCTCATTACAGAAAAAGCGGGGGATCTTTAATTGGTCGTTACAAGCATAAACTATTTTACAATATGGATAACATGCACACCAAAAGAAAAATTACAATCTTCGACTAGTCTACATGGCTGACTAAAAGACTTAAATTGAGTTCAGTTCGAAATAAAAACATTCGTTAAAAAAAAACGAAATATTTTTCGTCGTTTGTGATGCTTTCGACAACACTGACTCTGAACAATTAAGTTACTATACATTAAGAAAATTCAGTACGTCTAAGGTTACAAGCGACGGTAATGACGGCTGTAATTTATTTATTTGCAAATCTCGCCGAGTTTCCGAATTTAATCAAGTCAAAAGGAAACAAATTTATAGTAAACCGTCTTCGCAAATAATCTCATTCTGAAAAAGAATTCATAAAATGAAAGTATCTAGCTTTCTAGTTGTTTGTTTTCAGTTTCAAAATTGTTTTCGCGATAAATAAAAAAAACTTGTTAACAATATGTATTACATTATATTGCGTTAATGTTTTAATGAAATCAAATTAACACTGATTAAAACTGTATAATGTCATGTGAAAGGCATGTATATACTTAGTGACGTCACTAATTTCTAAAAAAATTGTTTTGCGTTTCGCCGTTGAATTTGTCATAAAACTATTTAATCAGCGAGGAAGAAGACAGCTAATCGAAGACGAGCTCAAGCCACAGGGTTTTTGTTTCAAAATAATATCCTCCACTTCATTACTGAATAGAACTGCTTTTATCGCTTGAAGTAATTGCAAATTAATGAATCTTACTTGTGTCCTCAGTCAACTATTTTTCTCTCAAATCCGGCACTGCACCCGAAAAAAAAAATCACAGCTGTATACTATTTTCTTCTTCCATTATTTTAGCAATAATGATAATTTATTTTAAACATACCTTATATCGTTTTCCTGAATATTAGGTCGGGTTTTCTAGCCTTGTGCCACAAGCTAAGTTATATTACATCTAGTTGATAACAGCGGTTAAGAGAGATTAAAAAGTCAGTTCCTTTTTCCTACAATGACGTAATTCTATCAGGTGATCTACACCTTTTTCACTTTCGAAAGTTTGTCAGAATCGGCACAGCTAACAACACGGAATCAGAACAGCACGTCGACTACGAGTCGTTTGGCGAGTTAAATTTAATATATGAGTTAGTCTGCTGATTCTCCAATAGTCGACACCTCAGAAATCTTGGGTCGTACACAGTTCCATTTCCGGGGTGTAACCTCTTGGCTCTTGATTCACCGGTTCACCAAAGCCTATCCCTCTGCAGTGATTATTTCCTCGTAAACAAAATCCTTTTTCGGTAATGCTGATCAAGCGTTTAATATCGGAGGAGTTTTCTACTGGCTCGGATAAATTTCATGGCTCATTAAACTAGTCCTCTCTCGTCTCGTCTCGTCTCGTCTCGTCCTCCCTCGTGCCTCTGCAGTTTCCACATTCAGTTTTGCTTTACCAAAACGATTTATTTTCTTCTGTTATTATCATTAATTAAACTTTAAAGTAATTTTAAAGATCAAAGGGTAACATTCGCACAGTAACACTCACTCATGTCTGTTTAAAGTGCCCATCACCCTTCTGACAATATTCTCAGTGTTAATTCTACATGGGGTAAGATGTGGAATAACCCGAAAATATTTCATAGTTTGAGTGCGGCTTCTTGAAATTATAAAGGTTTTGTCAGAAGGGTGATAGGCACTTTAATAGATGGTTAATAAAAGTAAAAAGAGCATTCAAATGAGAAAAAAATTGTTCTTAATATGCAATGAATATTACAGATATACCTGATACTGTAAATGAACTATTAAAAAAATAATTTAGGAATGAAAAAATGAAAACGAAAACCGAATGGGAATGAACGTTGAAGTCAGCGCGCTTTCCTTCAAAGAGATGCGCAGTAGAGACCTACGCAGGATTCAAAATGGCGGACAGCATGGACAAAATTAAAACGGCGCCTTCCAAAAATAGATAAAATTTTCTATTTCGTTTTGATTGTATAGCCTATTATCTAAACTAAGCTATAGTTTATATAATTACTTATCCTCAAGTTAAAAATGAATATCCTTGGAAGATCTGTTAGAGTGGTTTTCAGTCATCTTGTTCGTCGAAAGTCTCCGCTTCAAGCAGAGACTCGAGTTGCGGTAAGTRAAAAAAAGGTTAGAATTAACATCTATTTGAATTGTTTTTCTTACCTTTAGTTTTCTGTTTGATAGGCGTCTCTTGTTCGATACGTTCATCGTCCTGTAGCACTGGCCCCAGCACCTCGACCATCAGCTCCTACCATTGAAGAACTTCCAGAATACGGTAGGCAAATTGCATGCAGAGCTTTAGAGATCGTATTAAAAGCGTAGTAAGACTTCCATGAACTCTGATATAACTCACTTTAAAGTCTTGCAGATGCCTCATGGTTCCTATTCATGGAAAACTGTAGTTTTGTTTTGAGGATTGCACCACAGTTTGCTACCGTTGCACATGGCGCGAAATYTTGATCCTATGTGTCTGTTGTTGGAAGGGAGTGAGGCTAGGGAAATGTAGTTTTTCTTAGGGGG